CTGGAGAGGGAGCGGGGTCAGAGTGATCTGCTGGTTTCCCGTCACCATCTGCCCCACGTTCTGTAGGGTGATGTTCATGTTCTGCCCAGTGACCGGGCTACGACTCATGATGATTTGGTAGTTGGGAGACTGCGGAGCGGACGGGCTAGCAGCGGAGGAGGAAAACGTGGTCACGGGCGACTGAGGGTGGCCGGCCGCGGGTTGAGCACCTGCAACGATAGGCTGCGGAGGCTGCTGCTGCTGCTGCTGCTCCTCTGCTTCAGAGCTACTGACAGACTTGGACCTCTGGAGCTGTCGTTGCATGTTCTGTGAGCCACTTCCATGGTGCATTGCGCGACACTGTTACAATGTCCGAACACAGTATTCTGCAAAATAAAAAATAAATAAAAAAAAACATCAATTCAGATATATACCAAAAAAAAACACTTTAAAATTCTATTGACTATTCTGTAAATCTTACGAATTACTCGACTGAATTACTCTTATACAGCGTTTACATTAATTTAAAAAAAATAACCGTTACGTTACGTTACAAACCCTAACACCGGCTAATGGTGATGTTGACCTAAAACGCTCTTAAACACAAACCTTTACGTTACTTTACCGTCATAATATGTAAAAAACAGCAGTGTCACTTGACTATTTATTTATTTATTTGTTATTTGTTTGACTTCGTTGTTTAACGATAAACGAACGCGACCAGTTTTGCTCGCGCTCGGGTACGCTAGCGTAGGCTAACTAGCATCGGAGGAACGATATAGACCCGCAAAAATTGGTAAAAACTTTGAAATTCCCCAGAATTGCGTATATTAAACACAAACCGGCATTTAATTAAAAAATATATCACGCTAGAAAATATCTGCGTAAGTGCTATTTGAGATATTTTATAAGGTAAAGCGGAACGCGTGCTAGCCGTTGCTAACGACAGAAGGCAGTAACTGTTAGCAGGCCGGACCCGATCAACAATCACTTTTTTATCACCTTAACGATTTGACTTACGGGTAAACGAGCGTCCGGGGTGATGACGTAAATCCTAGGTCATATTTTGCGTTCAGTCACATGTTGTAACAATCGCGATTAAATGACAAAATAAAATATCGATATTGCTAGCGGCTAATTACTGTTTGGAAGCTATTTTCATTCAGCAACATGGCGGCCGCAGCAACCTTTAGTGTTGACCCGGAAGTGCTTTCAAGAAAGCGGCAAACCGATGACGTTCCTTAGACTACCCTGCCGATTCTAACGTTTTTTACGGCTTTAGAGGTTGTTTTTTTAAAATTATTCTTATTACCTTGTGCCCTTAAGATTCAGTCGGGGCAAATAAATCTGCCCCGAGGCCTTGAGAGAATAAACGTCCGTTGTAAGTGAAGTGAAATGAGCCAGAAATCTAAAAAAAACACACGGTTATTATTCTATAACAGACATGAAGCTACAGCGGCTAAAATCGGTCGCTAGTGTTTTTTTTAATATATATACACATATATATCCTTATATATATATATTTATATATTTGTTTCACATCCAGTATAATTTTAATAATTATTTAAAGCCTCGTTTGGCTTTGAATTTCAGCTTAGTTTTTTTTTTTTTAATTTAAAAAGATCTAATATAATAATAATTAGTATATATTTTAAACGTAGCTACTATGATTTTCTTTATGTATTATAACATAATATAAATATTATATATAAGAAACTTGAAATGATAAATGCAATCATTATTTTGCCCACTTTTAGTACAGTACAATTTTTTAAATTTT